CCCCAAAACCCCAAAACCCCAAAACCCCGAAGCTTGATGTTGAATTTGAATGTTGAATAAAATAAATATAAATTGGAATTAGAAATGAATGAAGATTATATTTAGGAAAGTAACCTTTAAAATGACTAGCTAAATCAATCAGGAGATGAAGAATTAGGCGAATAATTCCTTGAAAAATCTGACTATTAGGAAACACCAAATATATTAAACGACATTAACGAGTCGAATAAAGATCAGCAAACAAATTTAATGAGTTATTCGCAGGAAAAATACCATTTAAATGAGATCTCACCTAATCAGGGCAGAGACAGAAATGAGCAAAATGACTCTCAAGACTATAAAGACGATAGAGAAGGGGATTCAAGATTTTCTCCATCTATACTAAGTAAAAGTATTGATGAGATGAGAACTAGCTTACATATGAGAAGCTCAAAGAGAGACGAGAGAGCAGGAGCGTTTTCTAGAAACAGCCATTCACCTGTTCACAAAATCGTTGAAGAGTAAGAGGAGTATAAAGAGGAAAATAAATATAATAATTAATAGTTACCAGATGATGAACACCAAGAAACCGAATTATTTGATAAATTTGAACAAGAAAAGGACACTCTCAGGGAAATATTTAAAGAATATTAGAATGAACTAGGAGTTCTTGCTTTGGATAGCATTGAATTGTACTTAAATCATATCTCAAAACTTCTACTTAAGATGACCAATTAAAATGTTATAAATGAAATGAGATTACAACTTGAAGCTAAGGTTGCCCAGATAATTTAATCCAAGATATCATAGCATAGACATTAATTGCATAACAATCAATCAAAGAACAAAAGAAATACAAATAGTATAAATGACTAGCTTAATTCTGAAGTCGGTATTACTTTTAATGAGCTATTTCATGAGTTATTTATGTCTATTCTTTCAGCAGTTAAACGTTTCAAGACCGATGAAAAGTTTATGGATGATATGTAATTGACCTAAAGATCTGATGATAAGATTAGCGTTAATTTTAGTCCAAGACCACATTTAGAACCAGATCAATTGATTCAGTTAAATAACATAATATTCAGCAGGAAACAAGAAATTGATTACAGCAAACTAGATGATACAAAGAAGTTGAAGATTTAAAGACTTTAAACTGTGTTTGATAATGAGAAACATGGAGTGGAAATATTAATTAAGCAAAAAACTAGGATAATGAATGATGAAATTGATGAATAAATAGTTTGAGATTTAATCTTGCAAATTCTGGAGAAATTGCCTGTTAAAATAATAAAACTCTAAAATTATGATGAGGAGACTGACTTTACTGAGCAAATGTATAAGATGAGATAAAATACAAGGAATAACAATTTAAGAAACAAAGATTATCTAAAAACTATAGTTGATAAAGTTATTGATAATCTTGATTTACAAGGACTATCTGCCACAAGTAAAGTTTCTCCTTAAAATCTAAATTATGATAAGATTTTAAGCGCTTTTAAGAGAGCATTCATCATTAAGGATAGCGGGGAGTATGAAATTATAGACAAGGATGAGTAAGAAGAGTAAGATCTGGCTGAAATAGAAGGACTCGATGATTTTTTACTGATGGATTAAGAAAATCAAATAAAGAGTCCAACATTAATGGACTAACTTAAAGACACAATCAAAACCTATCAAACATTGATTGATTCAAAGAAATTTAAATCAGAGACTGAAAAAACAAAGATACAAAAGATACTAAAGACTTTGCAAAGTTAATTAGATGCTCAAATGAGGGAGACAGTGAAAATTAATAAGTTAAACTCTCAAGAATCAAATAAGTAAATTAAGTATCACAAAATAGAGACTAAATACTTCATGCCTAATGTGTAGAAGTTGAGTGAAATAGAGAATAAGAATCAGCAAACGCTCAAAGACGAAAAAAGAGATAAGGTAATCAGAGGCATATTTGATTTTTATTGCAGATAGCAGTTGCTAGTAGGCAAAAAAGCGACATTTGAGGAGATTTAAAGAGAATTCAATAATATGAATATGGGGGAATTTTATAGATTTTGCCTTGATTTCAAGATTCCTTAGAAAAAAGATAAAATCATAGAGCTTTTTAAAAAATAATCATCCAATCACAGAGAAATTTCTTATGAAAACTTTAAGGATATCATTTAGTCTATTTTCATAGAAGTTAACAAGGAAAGAGCCAGAAATCTTAAAAACCGGTTGGATAATATTGATAAGCAAAATATTATTGGAATGGCATTATTCAAAGACGCTTAGAAATAACTGATTATGATCAAAAAGAAATCAGCAGAACAAATTATGGAGGAAGCTTATCAATTCTTGGAAATCGATCAACCTTCTAAAGTAGAATAAAAGAAAAAAGGAATAGCCTTACCATTTAATGTTAGAGATAAAGATGTCCCATTTGAATTTACTTCCACTGGAAAAATAAAAATGAGATAGTTATCTTAAGAAGAAAAAACAGAAATAAAAGCAAAAGTTAAGCAACTTAAAATTCTGAGAGATCTTAAGAAAAAGGAAGAATTTCTGGAATAATAAAATAAATACTACAAAATGAGATAAAAATTACAGTCATAGTTAGAGGGCACTCATGGTTCACAATATGAAGGATCTAGATCGGGATCTAAACAAGGAATATTTAGGAATGGATAACTTGAAAAGAATAGGACATAATTTACGCTACAAGAATTAACGGCATTAAACTATAAAGAACTTAATAGTAGGGGAGAGGATGATTTTAATCCAAGTATCTTTGGGTTTGAAAAGGATCCTTAAATGCCTGTTCATGGATCAGTGTCAAACAGAAGTAAGATGTCCGTGCTATTAGCACCCAATCAAATGACAAATGAGTACCATTCTAGTTCAGCAGTAATAGTTTTGTAAGATGATGCTGAGATTACTTAGAATGGAGTTTAAAATGGGTTGATTTGGAATAGAGGAAACGTAATGCCCTTAGATAGATTTTAGCAATAGCAATAATAGCAACAGCAACTCAGGCTTATCAATTAGAAAAAAGTTAATACAAAACCACCTTTCAGTGTCAATGGTGCCTTAAATCATGGCAGATAGTAGCCAACCTAATAATTAATGGATTAGTCTAATCGAATATTTACACAGCAAATTCCAAAAGCTATTGGGACAGATGTAACAAGGTTTAGAAATAATGATGCCTCCAAGATAGGAACTTGGGTAGACTAATAATTCTAACTTGGAGTATAAAATCCCATATTTGGTAATTAGAGTTCTTACCAGAGTCATCAATAAATACCATCAGCTATAAAATAATTCCAAAGTTAAGATTATAGCCTGCAGCACAATATAAATAATATAAGATAAAGATAATCTGCCACATATTTAGGACAGAATTAATCCCAGTAAAATTTAATAAACTATTACAGTAAAGCGCAAGATAGAGTACCCTTAGCATTGCCACCTATACCAAACACTACTAAAGCTAATACTTCAAAGTAGATAAAGATTTGATAAGATAAATTATATTTATTAAATGTTAATTTATTAATAACTAATTTATTCCTAAAATATAAGTTGAATTGAGATAGCTGGGGTTTTGGGGTTTTGGGGTTTTGGGGTTTTGGTATAG